GCCCCCCCCCCCGGAGTTCGATGAGGTTGGAGGAGGAAGGCCCTCGCGAAAGCAACTTTCTCATTCTACAGACAGCGCAGGGAAGAGCCCTTGGCCAAATCTCTGTCCGGCCAAGCTCTGAATCCAGGCCAAGCAATCTGGTCAAGCAGAGCAAGCAGAGCCAGCAGGCAGCGGCTGGAACATGGGAGCTCGCGGCGCGGGGCAGCAGCTAAGACCCGATGCAGTCGGAGGTTGCCTGGAGGGGACGTCCCGGACAGGCTGGGACCCCTGACGAGGGAGGCGGGAAGGGCACAAGGCCTCCCCCCGAGAAGCACCTGGGCAAGGGGGCAGAGCGCTCCTCCTCCTGGGTTACTCTGGCATCATCGCAGGTGTCAGAAAAGCAGGAGAGGGAAGCGGGCAGCGCACGTGGAAATGCAGCTCACGGGAGGAGCCGAGCCTGCCCCAACCCTGCTCACCTGGAAGGAAGGAGAGGAAGGGGTGAGAATCCTGGGCCCCCCCGCATTGGAGGGAAAGACCCGATCCGACCCCGCTTTCCCCTGCTCTCTGCGGGGCTTCCGCGTTGGGGGGCCCTCCCGGAGCCTCCCCGCACCCGCACCTCCCGACGCACCCGCGACAACCCTCCTGCTGCGAGGCTCTGGGAAGACACCGCTGGCTGGGGGTTGGGTGGGCTGAAGCCATCATGGCTTGCCACTAAGGAGACTGACTGGGCCGATGGTTCCGCTACTGTACGGAAAAGGCCTACGGGGAGGGGGGTCCAGAGGGAGGGGGTCAAAAAATCAAGATGGCGGCCACAATCCCGCACTCGAAGCACCGCCCGCTGTCTTGATGGGTTTTGACCGTTGCGGAATTCCTGGCCGTGGGGCCCTAGATTGCTTCTCTTCGCACTTCAGATCGAGTCGCAGGTTTTTTAAAAAATAAGGTTTGTTGAACAAGCCAGAGCCTGGAGAGATTGCAACGGGTCGCACATCACGCTGCGCAAAATAAGGGAACTCTGGCTTTGCTGGGGCTACACTGTGCAACGCCTCCGATGGCCACTAGGTGGCGACACAGAGACTCCCACTGGGCTGCCACCTAGTGGTTCCCTGGGGTTTGCAGCCGAGATATCTCCCGCTCCGCCCCAGCTTAGCCTGACATCTGGGTCCAGCTCTGAGTCTCCCCCACTCCGGCGGCCCCCAACCCGGAAGAGAGCCCTCCCCTTCCCTCCCCAAGCCCAGAAGTGGAGGGTCCTGGAACTCACAGGGCTCCCCGACGGTAGGTAGCCTCGTTCTTCCTCTTGCTCTTCACCCCCAGGATGGTGCCAGTCACAATGCCGATAATACCCACAGCCAGGCCCAGCGCACACACCACATTCTCGGTTGTCTCCGGGAGGGGCTCCGGGATGTTGGGATCTGGGGGGGGGAAGAAAGGGACACGGTTGGGGAGAAGTTCCCATCCAAGCGCCTCGGGTCTCACTTCAGCAGGTACTGCAGGAATTCCCTGGGAGGCTCCACGGGGGAGGGGCAGTCAGAATACATAGGGTTGGAAGGGGTCTGGGAGGTCATCTAGCTGACCCCCTGCCCAGGGCAGGAACCTTCAG